CAAAGGTTGTAGTTCCTCCAAAGGAACCGGTTGTTCCAAACATTGAGCAACTTGAATCATCCAACAAGCCTATAAACCCATTGGTCATACCACCACCCTTTCCTTCCCGGTTAGCCGCTTCGAAGAAAAAAAAGGAAGAAAATGAATTCTTTGAAATTTTCCGCAAGGTCCAAATCAACATTCCACTATTGAATGCTATTAAGAAAAATTCCAAGTTATGCAAAATTCCTCAAGGATTTGTGCACCAAGAAGAGGAAATTCAAAGCAAATGAAAAGATTCAAGTCAATGCAAACGTGTCTGCGGTTATCCAAAAGAAGTTACCTCCCAAATGCAAGGATCCGGGAATATTTGCTATCCCTTGTACCATTGGTGATTTGCATGTCGAAAGTTCCATGTTAGATCTTGGAGTCTCGATCATTGTGATGCCATATTCAGTTTTTCAATCTCTCAATGTTGGACCTTTGGAAGAAACCGGAGTAATCATTCAATTCACGGACAAGTCAAGTGTATCTCCAAGAGGAGTGTTGGAGGATGTGTTAGTACAAATTAATCAACTTGTTTTTCCCGTGGATTTTTATGTCATTGATCTTGAAGAGAAGACTCCTTCCAAATCATCTATGATCCTCCTTGGAAGACCTTTCATGAATACCGCTCACACGATCATTGATGTTCATAAAGGGAAAATTACTATGGAGTTTGATGGAGAGATCATTCACTTCAACATATTTAAAGCAATGAGGCACCCTAGCAATATTTCTCCATTGTATCGGGTTGATGTGATTGAGCCAATAAACGGGATAAGCCCTAAAGTATGCACACACAAGATTCTTATGGAAGATTATTGCAAGCCTAAGAGAGAGGTTCAAAGAAGATTGAATCATCCATTGATAAAAGTGGTCAAGAAGAAGATAATTAAAAGGTTCAAAAGATGCAAAGAGAAGAAAAAGGCATTTCATGACAAGCACATAACCCAAAAACACTTTATTCCGGGTCAAGAAGTTCTTCTTTATCATTCACGCTTAAAGATATTCCTGGGAAAATTGCGATCTCGATGACACGAACCTTTTATTGTTATAAAAGTGTTTAATCACGGTGCAGTTGATATTAAGAGTTTGGAAACAAATCGAATATTCAAAGTGAATGGGCATCGTTTCAAACCATTTTATGAAGGCTTTGACACGGGATAATTTGACAATGTAACATTGGAAACTCCGATTTATAAAGGTTGATGAAAGCGAGGCTATGTCTTGGCAAAGACGTTAAATAAATGCATTGTAAATAAATAATTTCCGCTTGAAGTTTTTGATGTTTCTAGGTTTGAAGTTGGTCAAAAATAAGCATCTTGAGGTTTAGCAAGGATCTTGGTAAAGTATGGAAGAAAACCGGAGCATGTAGAGCGAAAAATTGCAAAAAATGTCAAAATCTGCAACTTGCGCGGGTACCCGCGTAAACGTTGCGCGACCCAACCCTACCCACGCAAAATCCGAGCTCAAACTACCCCCACACGAGTTGCAATCTGATGTATGCGCGCGGCTGCCCCTCGCCCGTGCAAAGTTTGTGAGGGTACCCGCGCAAATCTACCACTTCATAATAAAATTTCGAGCCATTTCATATGCTTCCTTTGCGCGACCAAGCTTTCATCCATGTGTATTTAGGCGGCCAAGAACTCAACCCACACATCATTGTACGACCCATGTGTTGCTTCTATACCATCCTCGCGAGCCTCCTCCACCTTGATCCCGGTATGATCCTTCCTTACTCTCATCCTAAGCATTGAGGACAATGCTTAATTTTAAGCTTGGGGTGAGGTATTCTTTATCTTTTATTTTTTGATTGCATTTTGATTGTATATTGTTGCATTTAGAGTAAGTCATTTAGGTCATTCATAAAAATTGCATAAAAAATTCAAAAATATTGCATATTTTGTTTCTTTCTTTTCTAATTTTCATACTTTTTAGATGCATTCTAGTTTAAGTTCATGCATTTTTGTTCTCTCTTGTCTTCTCATCCCTACAGGTACCATAGCGCCGAGTCATAAGTATTGAATCATAGATTGGTCCCGGGTCTTGATATGAAATTCCTTGTATTTGAGAAATGGGACACGTTTTGAGCCTCACAGACCACTTTGAGACCGCTTGTGTGGGGGTCAGATGCAGGTAGCTTGATTGGGTCTAGGTGCGGAGGGATGTGGTTGGTCAAACCGATGTGCGCGAGCAAAGATTAGCCTGGTAAGGTATTTTGAAGACATTGAAGACTCGCATCTTGGTTTTGGGGGGAGTACCCCTTAGTACTCCTGAGTCTCGTCCGAGCTTTGCTTAGTTAGATTCTCACCACTTTTTTAAAATAGGTCATCATTTTTCTTGGGGTCTAGATTAGATAGTTAGATAGATTTTTGTTTATCACACCTTGCATTGAGGTGCTTGATGAACTTTGAAGTGGGTCCCACAATTCACATCTTTTGGGACCAAGTCTTTTCGGTAACATCCATTTTTGAGTCATTCCCCACCCCTTTTTAGTAGATCTTGACACATTGTCAATGATCATTAGGTGTTCATGTTAGCCTCCATCTATTACTCCATTTTCACTATTGGAGTCTTATGTTACATGGTGAAATTCCTTAGACCTTCCAAGAAGAAAACACAAAAAAATGAAGAAATTGGAAAAGTGAAGACAAAAAGAAACAATGAAGAAGATTAAAGAAAAGCAATAAAAAGAAAGAATAAAAATGAAGAAAAAGAGCAACACAAAAAGAAGAACAAGAATCCAAGTTCAAGACTTCTCTAAAAAAAAAAGATCGAGCTACATAGAGGCTGAAGACCAAATAACAGAAGTTCAAGATTGAAGATTTAAGCTGTTAGGTTTAGATTTAGGATAAGTAGAATTTTTATTATTTTATTTTTTATTTTTGATTTTTGGTGAGAAGGCTATGACGATGAGACGGTAAACTGTAAAGGACAGTACAAGGGAGAAGCCTCTGAAACCGGATGTTTGCCCGGAGGCCACGCTGCAAAACCCTATTTCGTTATTATACACTTTAGCCTGACAAGTGTAGGAATCATAGTGTGTGAAGAGGCGCCTTTCCTTCATGCACTATGGTCTACATTGGTGATTTAAAGTGCCCCCACTGGGCGCATCCTCTGTTTCATTTGTCTTGCACACCGCGACTACATCCAGCCGTGATCTATTCGCCCATCAGGTGGTTGAGAATGTGGTTTATGGTTCTAAAGCGGGGAACATTTTGAAGATGCGTAGGGTCCATGAAAGACTGATTCTGACAATGTTGACTGATGTTGACCAAGTTCTATGGTATCTTTCTTTTTCCTTTTTAGTTTAGCTCACCCCGAGCTCATTTTAGTCTTGTTCTAACTTGAGGACAAGTTAGGTTTATGCTTGTCAACCTTATTAAATACAATAATTAGCTGTGAGTACAGTTTATCCCAAAGTACCCTCTCCATGGATATATGCGATATAAAAAGTTCTCAAATAAATTTCTAAATAATATTAGTAATGATATTTAATTAACCTTAATTATAATCTGTAATAAATTAACTACAAGAAACCTGTTGAATTCATCAAAGTCGGATACCAAAGCCAAATACTCATCTAAAACAGGTTGTTTAGCCAACCGCCTATTGAACCCCTTCTCTAATAGATATAAGAGACATACACGGACCACATCTTTGTTCGATAAGTCATTAAGCGAATGCTCAAACACCTTCTTCACATTCCTCGTAACTATAGGAAACATACGGGAACGAAAGGCGGCGTCGGAATTGGACGCAAGAAAATAATCTCCAAAACACAAGCCGGTAACAAAACAAAATTCTTTTTTCCCGAAAGAAAGCTCGTAACCCAATCTCAAAAACCATTTATTCTGCTTCGCTTCGGGGGTCCATGATAACTTCGTGGCAAAAAATATAATGTAGAAGCAAAGGATCCCCATCTACATTAGGAATGTCTAACCACCTACCAAAACCTGCATTCCAGAACATAGTCGTGCATGTCGGTCTGTCTTCCAATGCCACAAGAATTTCCCCACCGATTTTAGATTTACAAGACAGTGTAATGGATGCATCAAAAACTCTGTCGTGATGCACAAATAAAAAAGTTGTTATGACCCAAATTCCCGATCGCGTCGGAAAGTCGGAGCAAGATCCGGAATGAAGTCGAGGGTCCAAATGTTTTCAAAATATATTCCAGATTTTGAAAATCAAATTCCCGATTTGGAACACGTACCAAAACTTCGGAATATGCATTCCGGAAACAACAAAATGGGCCGGCCCACCCGAAAAAGAGTTTGAAATACGTTCCAGAACAACCTATTCTGAAGAATGTGGTTATTTTGAAAAAAAATGGCTCATATTTATTAAAAACACATAAAAATGATTAGTTTAATCAATTTCCCTAAATAAAAGAAAACAAAGATTATCATTTCCTTAAAAATAAAATAGCTTCTACATTTTCTCTCGAAGGTTATTTGTTTAATTTGCTTATTATGTTATATCACATGCTAAATTTGAAAAATGGAACAAACGTACGAAATTTTATCAAAAAAAAAAATAAAAACAATCAACTTTTCTAGACATTTGACGAAAAAAATACAGTTATTCTAATAAACAATTTAACCTTTTTTAACATATAACCGTTTATATATAAAAATGTCATTTTTTTTTTGTTCACTTGCTAATTTTAAGACTTCAACTTACGTAGTCATAACATATTTGTGCATTTTAAAAATATATAATTTTAAAAAATATATTTTAAATCTAGAAGCTAAAACAAAATATAATTAGAAGTCGAAGCAATCATGAGTTTGAAACAATAAGTTTCATATTGGACGTCACTAAACTATATAATTAAGATCAATGATTATGATTTTGATCGTTTTTATATAATTTTATTTTATACACGGGTTATTACCTGGTGCATAATACATGAATTAATAATATTGCGAATCAAATTCTACACTAATGCGTTACTTTATTATAGAAAGGCTTGCTGCAATTCTTACACTTGCGAATCAAAACCAAATAAATCCCTTGATTAGCTCCTGCGTTTGCCCTCTCGATCGATACAAAGAAACACATTCGTCGTCACCAAAACCCTAGAAGTTCAACAATGGCACCGATTGATCCACACTCGTTCACCGATTCAACCCACCCCCTAACAACCCACATCTCCCTTTCTCTCTACTTCGATTTCTCCACCTCCACCATCTCATCCTCTGCCTTGCTCACTCTATGCGCTCCACATACCGGCGATCTGCTCCTCGACACTCGGTCACTCACCATAAAGTCTGTCATCGACCCGATCAACAATACCCCACTCTCATTTTGTCTTTCTTCCGACGTTGACCCCATAAAGGGCCAACCTTTAACCGTTTCCCTCAACAACAATTCGAAAATCTTGATTACTTTTGTCACTTCTCCATCTAGTTCAGCCCTTCAATGGCTAACTCCTCCACAGACGTTCAACAAAAAGTTCCCTTTCGTGTATACCCAGTGTCAATCCATCCATGCGAGGTCGATTTTCCCGTGTCAGGACACACCCGCATCACGAGTCCGATACAATGCCAAGCTGAACATTCCTCATCAGTTATCAGCTGTTATGAGCGCGAGACACGTCGAAAGGAGAGCACCGTTGGCTGGGGGCGATTCAAGTTTCGCGTGCGATGAATCTTTATGGTGTGCAGAAGGAAGAGTCGTTGAAGAATTCACCATGGAACAACCGATTCCACCTTATTTATTCGCCTTCGCGGTTGGAGAAATTGGGTTTAGGGAAGTGGGCCCCAGGACTAAGGTGTTCGCAGAGTCGGTCCCTGCGGTTCTTGATGCTGCAGCAAAGGAGTTCGCAGGTACTGAAGATATGATTAGGGTTGGAGAGAAGCTATTTGGGGATTACGATTGGGAGAGGTTCGATTTACTGGTTTTGCCTCCTAGTTTTCCTTATGGTGGAATGGAGAATCCGCGGATGGTGTTTTTAACTCCTACTGTAATCAAAGGAGATGCTAGTGGTGCCCAAGTTGTAGCACATGAACTTGCTCATAGCTGGACTGGGAATTTGATCACCAACAAAACTAATGATCATTTCTGGTTGAATGAGGGATTTACAACTTATGCAGAAAGAAGAATAGTTGAGGCTGTTCAAGGAGAAGACATAGCTGCTTTGAATATAGGAATTGGTTGGAAAGGTTTGGTTGATGAAATGGAAAGGTTCAAAGATAACATTGAGTTCACAAAACTTTTAACTAATCAAGAAGGTGTAGATCCAGATGATGTATATTCTCAAGTTCCATATGAGAAAGGGTTTCAGTTTCTATGGCGCATTGAAAGACAGGTTCTTTACTTCTTTCATATATCATGTTTTCATTTCTTTTTCTATGAATCTTGTTTTATTTTTATATTTGGTTTGTGGGTTATGTTCAGATTGGGAGGCCGGCTTTTGATGAGTTTCTAAAGAAGTACATAGCTGCATTTAAGTTTCAATCGATTGATACTTATATGTTTCTTGATTTCTTGAAAGTGAATGTTCCTGGAATTGAGAAAGAGATTGATTTAAAGATATGGACTGAAGGCACTGGTATTCCTTTTGATGCTATGGAGCCAGTTTCTAATATCTATAAAAAGATAGTTTCATTAGCAAATGAATTTAAGCAAGGTAGGATGCCAAGTGAGGAAGAAGTTGCTAATTGGCATGGACAGGAATGGGAGCTTTATTTGGAAAATCTCCCTAAATCTGTTGAAGCTTCACAGGTATGATCGTTTCCTTTAATAATTGCTTTATGTTAAATATGATCTTTGATTGTAAAATCTTGATGATGATGATGATGATGATGATGATGATGCAGGTTACAGCTTTGGATTCTAGATACAGGCTATCAGAATCAAAGGACTATGAGGTGAAAGTAGCATTCCTCCAACTAGCCATTGCTTCAAGATGCAGTGAATATTATAACATTGTGGAGAAAACCTTAAAGGAAGTGGGGAGAATGAAATACCTTCGCCCATTGTACACAGCACTTGTGCAAGGGAATGTGAAGAAAGAAGAAGAGAAAATATTTGCACAAAGGGTTTTCTCAGAAGCGCGTGAAACTTATCATCCAATAGCTCAAGGTGTTGTGGAGTCTATTCTTTCCAAGCATCTTTAATCGTATCAATTAACCAAAAACTTTTGACTCAAAGACTTGTTACTTTTCATGAATTGATGTGGTTTGTTTCTAACGTTAGGCTCAAGTTTGTGGATGTGTTTTTCAATTAATTTTCTTGGTAGTTTTGCATATGGAAATATGTTTTTGCCATATTTAATTGGTTCACACATTAATTTTTCTCATAATAAAAGGTCTAGCACTTATGAATCAATTTAATTGGAAGTTAGAAATTTTGTTGCTTTTTACAATGATCTTAAGCGTTATCAAGAACATGATAGAAGTTATTTATAGTCGCTATGGAGGGACTCAACATTGCAATGAAAGTGGCTTGCCAGAAGGGTCTTTTCCATGGAATAAAAAAATACCACATTCAGAAATATCAATCTCTCACGTGTTCTATGCCGATGATGGGAGAGTGGAGTCAAAGCAACATTAAGAACTTAGCAAGGGTGTTAAGATGCTTTCAGGTGGCGTCAGGATTGAAGGTCAACTTCAACAAATCCAGAGTATTTGGTGTTGGAGTTGATATGTCTGAGGTTTCTCGTTGGGCTGTACCTTTGGGTTGTCAACCAGCTTCGCTGCCCTTCACATACCTGGTCCTGTAGGCGCGAACATGAAGTTTAAAGATGGTCCTGTAGGCACGAACATGAAGTTAAAGAAGCACTGGAAGCCTATAATTGATCGTTTTTATTCTAAACTTTCGCCTTGGAAATCGAAAGCGCACTCCTTTGGAGGAAGATTAACCTTAGCCAAAGCGGTCCTTGGCAGCCTACCGTATTATTATTTCTCTCTATTTGTGGCTCCGGTGGGAGTTATTGACATTCTTGAAAAAATTCGTAGACAGTTCTTAAGGGGTAGGAGTGATAACAAGTACAAATTGCTTGGGTATCGTGGGAAAAGGTCGTTGCACCAAAGGATAGAGGGGGACTTGGTTTAAGCTCACTCCGAGCCTTCAACATATCGACGATTGTCAAATGGTGGTGGGCATTAAAAACAAACAAAACAGCCTTATGGAGCCGTGTAATTATGGGTATTCATAATTTACATAACAAACCTGCTAATGTTTTATCAAAAAAGAACTATTCCAGACGTGTAGAACAATATGGCGGAGGTGATGAATGATCTAACTAAGGTTGGGATAAGCTTTCATGACATTTTAAAGAAACAAGTGAAGAATGGTAACGACACCCTCTTCTGGATGGACGGGTGGTGTGATGGTGAGCCACTAAAAGATAAATTCCCAGAACTCTATCAGCTTGAAAGACGTAAGACTTGCAGGTTTAGTCAAAGAATACAAGTGGAGGGCCAAACTTGGGAATGGAGAGCACCCCCTGCATCTGCGGAACAGATTCATAGCCTTCCGATGTTGTATGTTGTCATTGGAGATCACCGACCATCCCCAGAACCTAATACATGGAACTGCCCGTTATCGGAGGATGGTACCTTTCACGTAGAGTCGATCAGACTAAAGATTGATAATATAGAGCCGACGAACAACGAAGTAATCATCCCTTGGATTCATGATATTCCTATAAAGGTTAATACCTTTATTTGGAAAGCTAATCTGGGACGTATCCCAACCAACTTGGCGTTAAAGAAGAGAGGAGTCACAGTTGTAAACTCAACATGCTCACAATGCCATCTTGAGGACAAAGATACGGAGCACATCCTGATCCGTTGCCCGGTGGCGAGCACTATATGGGATCTGGTATTTAAATGGTGCGATATTCCGAATCCACAATTCCAAACCATCGGGGAACTCATCAGTTTTGTAAAAACTTGGGGGAGATGTTGGAGAAGGAGAAACAGCCTAATTAGTGTTTGTTATGGTGTAGTTTGGTTACTATGGAAAGCAAGATGCGATTGGGTGTTTAGGAGCATACGAACTTCCCACTTCTAGATTCTAGATAGCGCTAAGTCTCTTGTGCTCACTTGGCTTAGACACCGGAAAGCCAATTGTCATTATAGTTGGGCTGATTGGTGTATTTGCCCACTGAAATGTTTGTAATCCAAATTCAATTGTAACTTCCTTTTTCTGGGTCCGCCTAGTACCTTGCTAGGCGGTGATCCTTTAATAATATTTGCCGGTTCTAAAAAAAAGAAGTTGTGTAGAAACTTCCTTCTAAATATCTATAAATATAAATAGAAGTTTCTAAATAATGAACACTCATGAATTCTCACACTATACATATGTATTTCCTTTTTCATCTTTAATCATTCTTTAATTTGTGTGTCCTATCTTATAAGCACTTTAATATTAATAGAGTGGGTTCCCTTTCCAAATTTACTTCCTTCATCAATTGGTTTTGTTCCAAGCTTTATATATATTTTTGGATTAAAGGCAAAAATAAAAATATGTTTTCATAAACTTATTAACTATAATATCTTGTTTATAGTATATATTATTACATCTTGTACATCAAAAAATCTATCAAAAAAATCTATTTAATTATAATCATTTCATTCATTAACATAACAATTTTCACTTTAAGGTCACATAACATTTCCATAATAAATACAAACATGCTTAAAGTACAAAAGTCATATACAAAGTGATGAAAATAAAATACTTTAATAATACACATAAAAATAAAAAAATTGATACTATTTTTGCATTTATCCTTGCAAGAAATAGTTAACTGACATCGGAGTTAGGTACGACGTAAGGGTTCCTAGGGACATGAATTGACGGTGGAGGGAGTGGTTGGTTGCTTGGAATCAGTGGTGAGAACAGGGGGATCGGAGGTGCGATTAAGAGGAGTAATAAGATTTGGGGATGAATGGAGGTTAAGGTTTTTGATTTTTAGTTATTGGGCTAGCTTCAAATCATTTGGGTGATTGGGTAGTTGAGCTAGCGGCTTTAATGACATTTCGCCATTGCTGGAGCTTGTCGCCATTGATCTTTGATCGTCGGTGCCAGGGGTAGAAGCCTAGAAGGGGAGAGCGAGAGGGTCTCCATTAACGTTGTGTTCCCAAGTTGAATTAGCTGTATGATATGGGTGGGAGTAAGCTCCCGTAAGTCTCTGAGGTTGCGTAGAAGACGACGCGTGAACACCATTCTCAAGCATCCATAAAGTATACTGTGGAGTCGAGTGTCTTACGCCTGACAACTAATGTTGAAAGAGAAGATGCAACGGTCTATTGACCGTTTGAAGCATTTAACAATTTTTTTTCTTAAAGTATCCGTTTTTATAAGTGAAAAAAAAACGTTGGGTAGTTTCAATGGAAGAAAAGATGCTTCTCAATCTCGATTCTCTGTGTTGATTTCTAGATCCTTATGAGATATTAGATTTGATGGTTGATGTTTCAAAGGAAGAAGATGAAATTCTAAGAAGCTATTTTTGTTGCCCACCAAGTGTTTGATAAAATGCCCAAACCAGTTTTTCTCTTGTTGCAACTTTATTGTTTAAGATAATGTAGTTTGCTTAGTTTGGATGCTCTTTGTGCACACAAACAGTGTGTTGGTGTGCCATTTCCTTCCCTTCCTTGTTAAATATTGCTTCATAGCTTTAGCTTCATCTCGAGGCTTGTTCTCTTGTATGACTTCTTCTTCTACAAGTTCGAGTGATATTTGTCTGTGCCCGTTCAGAAGCTTCCATTGTTGCCCAAATGGTGAAGTGGGAAGTAAGGGGATTGCCCGTATGATTTCACACATCAAAAGGCATCATCTACCTACTGAAGATCGTAAATGTGTTTTACGTGAAGCTCTTTCTAGTGATGTTGGTTTATTTATGGCAGTGGAAGAAACTTTGAAGGCCTTTGGTCAATGGATATGTGGGAAGTGTACGACTTTGCATTCTCTTAGCTGTTATTGTCATCACCCGGATGGTCATGCGAGATTTGTTACAAGGACTGACGGCTCGAGTCGTTACATTGTCAGTATTCTAAACCGTCTACTAAAGAGTCGGTGAAAAATGCTCTTGGAGGTTTGGTTTTTGATGTTGGGCTCATTGATCGTGTTTTTAAAGAGCCTATCACTACTGTCAAGAGTATCCCCCATAATTTCCGCCTTGCTTTCTTTCAGGCTTTGAAAACTGCTCTTTACAAGGTGATTGCCCAACCTGGCTCGGTTGATGCATGGATTTGTTTGTTACTTCTTCCTCGCTGCACACTGCAGGTGTTTAGGCCCAAAAAATAAACAAGAATGCAGGTCTGGGAATAGAAAATCCTTACAGCAAAGCTCCATCCTGAAGTCCTTGGATACATGGGGGAAAGAGGATGGTATCAGGAAGTTAGTTCAAAATATGATAGATAATCCCGAGGTTGGGGCCATGAGACAGGGTGGAGGCATCCTTCAGAAGGAGTCTACATCAAGTAACACCAACATCAGACAGTGTCTCCCTAAGGTTGCAGATGGGCATTTAACCGCAACAGTGAAAGTGTTATGCTCATCGGGTGTTGCGCCATATAATGGTGATGCTATTAAAGCTTTGGAGGATAAACACCCTTTCAGGCCACCCCTATCCATGCCGAGCCCCATAATTTCTGAACCTCCCCTTGTAGCATACTCTGAATGTGTATTTGGTTGCATCAAATATTTCCCTAAAGGAACTTCTTGCGGGAGAGATGGCTTGAGGGATCAACACTTACTGGATGCCCTTTGTGGAGAAGGGTCTGCTATTGCCACATATCTCGTACGTGCTATCACTTCAGTGGTTAATCTATGGTTAGCGGGATGATGTCCGACCATTTTGGCAGAGTTTGTTGCATCCACTCCTCTCACGCCTCTGCTTAAACATGACAACGGGATCCGTGCAATTGCAGTTGGCACTATATGGAGACATCTGGTTTCCAAGGTTGCCATGAAAGGTGTGGGTAAAGAAATGGCCAAGTACCTTAATGATTTTCAGTTTGGAGTTGGTGTGTCCGGGGGTGTCGTGGCTGTGTTACACAATGCCAATAGGGTGTTGAATGAACACCATGCTGATGGGTCTCTTGTAATGCCGATAATGGATTTCTCGAATGCCTTTAACCTGGTGGATAGATCAGCATTGCTCCATGAGGTGAAGAGGATGTGCTCTTCTATTTCTTTGTGGGTGAATTTATCGTACGGGCAAGCAACGATACTTTATATCAGAAACCAACATATATGGTCTGCCACTGGGGTGCAGCAAGGCGACCC